AAAAGGTACAAAACAGAGTTAAAAAAATAAACTCTGTTAGAAGCGAGCCCAGAGAGGACAGGGAGTGTGAGGGGGGACTGGAAGATGTTGGTTCCTTAGGATTATTCACTTTTCAAAGGTGAATAATTTTGTTCACTTGCGACAAAAGAGTGACTCTGTATTTCATAACTAAAATTTGCTTTAGGACAAGCATTCCAGTCTACTTTCCAGAAAAAAAAAAAAAAAAAGATGGGGCAGGGGGAGCCCAATTGAACGCTTGAAAGACAACAGACCATCATCCAATTAACCTATTTTCTTAGTAAAGAGCTTCATTCATCCTACCACAGCACCTTAGTTACAATACAGCAAGAAAAATAAAATAAAATATAAGTTCATCACTTAATACAAAGCAGCTTCCCAGATTCTCACCCATGCTGCCAAGGGAGCATCGGAAGGCGGGCTACCTCCTGCTTAGTGAACCTAACTGTTCCCAGAAAAGAATTACGGTACAGGCTTGACTCATCTAGGTGTTTCTACTGCTGAGAAAAGGAGTAACGTTTCCTCCTGAGCAGGTGAGGCCACCTCCTGCAGCTCTTTCCCGCAAATGGGTGGAGCAAGGGAAAATGAGAATCAGCAAACAGGAAAGGAGGGGAGAATAAGCCTCAGTGGGGTTTGGCCAGTTCAATCCCATGCTGGACGTCCCTGGGAAAGGGTTCCTGAAAACCCAGGTTCGAAAGCATGGAGACCAGTCCCGCACAGACGCTGTCAGTGAAATTTAGCAATGTGTATTTTTATAGTGGTGAGGCATGATGCGATGTCTTATTGCATGTGTGCACATGTGTGTAGAGGCTGGAGGTCAATGTCAACTGTTTTCTCGATCGCTTCCCCCACCTCACTTTTTGACACAGCGTCCCTCCTGGACCCTGGAGCTCATGAAATAGCTAGACAGGTTGACCAAAGAGCCCCGGAAATCTTGCTGGCACCTCCCTAGCACTGCAGGTTTTCTACCAGGGAATCCAAACTCGGGTCCTTGATTGACAAGCACTTGACTGACAAAGGCGTCTCCCCAGCCCCAGCGTGACACTTGACTCCTGTATATGTTGAGTAGCGATTGGCTCTGTCCATCATATCCATCTTCAACAGAAGTTCTTAAATTAGAAGAAATATAAGACGTGGAAAAATATAACAGGTGGAATGGACGGCCAAGGGAGGAGAGAGAAGCTTGAGTCAGTTTCCATGTCTCCGTCCTTCACCTTGTTTTTGCAGTCATGATACCATCCCCTCCAGAAAGTCCCAAGATTAAAATCTTTGCTTCCTCCATCCTGAAGGAGTGACTCATCTATTCTGCACAGCTAATTACTTTCCTCCTCGTATGGTACAAGTGCTTCTAAAGGAGACCAGAGGCTTCAAAAGACAAGCTTTGGCTCAGGAGCCTTAGCCCGGGGGATTTTTCCTGGGGAACATGAGTACGTGAGAGCAGGAAATGTCTGAGTCACATGTGGCCAACCATGAACCTGCTAAGACAGGACAGCTGGCTTGGGAGTCTGGGAGGGATCCTCTGAGTTGGCCTGCCTGTCTGAACCAGCACTCCAAAGCGACAGTCCACATTGGTGCAATCTGCAGTTTCGCATTGTGGGAATCCAATTATAAATTAACTGCTTGTAGAAGCTTCCCGGACTGCTAAGCAAATTGTGATGCATACTCTTGACTATTACTACATCAGAAACAAACATTGAGAGATGGCCCAAGCCTCAGGGCAAGAAATGTAAGAAATGCAACCATCTTGCCAGGAAAGATATTCTAAAGTGTTAAATTTTAACTCTGCTGTTAAACTGTTTAAATAGTATACCCCCCAAGAAACTGGAATGTCCCCGGGAATCTCGCGTTAGGAAAAGAAAAGGTCAGAAGACTTACACCAGCCAGAGGAGGAACTTGTCTTCCATAAGAGGCCACCTTCCAGGGAGATGGAGTAGAGATGATGTTGAGTTTATAAAGCAGGCGGGACACACACACACACACACACACACACACACACACACACACACGACCACATCCTGACCAGGACTGCTTAGCTATCTGTATCTCTTGCCATGTCAAGACCAAAACCTCATGTCAGGACCCTAAAGATGATCTTGGGGAATCACTGGACCCCTTTTGCCTCTTCCCAATTTGGCCACATGGAAACAATCTGTTTTCCTTGTATTTCTTGAATTGGCCCATTGTGAAGGAGTAGCCAAGCGTGACTTGTGAGAGCTGCCAGTGCCCGGGCTCCATCTAGCTCTAACAACTTGGGAGACAGAAGATTAGATATGGGTCTTGGACCAGAGCCCCTTGCTGAGCAAACTTCCAGGTTTAGCTAAGGTTGTGGAAGGTGTGTTCCTCATGAAACTGACACATGAACAAGAATAAAAGCCATATGCATACCCTTTAACTGCATGAGTGCTAACAGACAAGTAATGGGAGAGCTTTCTTTCCTTGGTAGACCCCAGTGTGCTTCCTCTCTGCTTCTTGTGTAAAGGCTCAGTCTTTGGAACCCCTGAAAAGGCCCCATGTCCTCCCAACCTTTCAAACTAAATCAACATGTGACTTCAAAGCCTCAGAAACAGAAGCCAGGCAGAGGATTTGGATTCAATGCTCACTAAAGAAGAGTCTTTGCCAATGCTAAGCACAGCGTAGAGGCAGAAAAATTCGCCCTCCGAGAATAAACTGATAGAAGATAGTGTTTTTTTAACAAAATCTCAGTCGTTAGATTCTACCAATAAAGACTCGGGAACCAGATGCTGGGGTGAAAGCCTGCTAGCTCAGAGAGGCAGAGAAAGCACCCAGCTGACCTTCCTCCTCAGCCAACATCCCAGAAGCCTTTCTCCTATGGCATCTCAAACAAGACTCTTCCAACTCAATGTCCTTCCCTTCTAATTCCTATAGGTCTCTCTCTCTCTCTCTCTCTCTCTCTCTCTCTCTCTCTCTCTCTCTCTCTCCCTCTCTCTCTTTCTCTCTCTCCATCTTCCTGGCTCCCCCTCTTACTCTCTATGGTTTTTTTGGTTTTTTTTTCTTCTTTACTTCCTGTCAACTGGTTGGGGGCTGAGCCACACCATAACTAGAAACAGGTTTTTCCAGTAAATAAGGCAATCTCAGGGTTCACAGTGTGATCAAATATCCTGCAGCAAGATAGATGAACAGAAGTAAAGGACATACATTTATTTGCTAGATGTAATTGATATAGGAGCCCTTATAAGGACCTAAAGAAGCCAGATAGTTAGAGCTGCTCACATCCCGCATATATACTAAACTGAACAAAGAATGTTGTGAACAAGCAGAAAAAAACCATATGGAGAGAACTGAAAGGTCAGTTATTTTAACAAAGACTGTTCAAAATCCTCCCCATGATGATTTCTTGTCCTTGAAGATGGGATATCCAACGTTCCAATGTAGGGAGGGTGTCTTTCAGACGAGAAACTCATTTCTGCCTTTAAGAAAGAACATGACCAGGATGAGGTGGCTCGCACTTATAGTTTCAGAACTCAGAAAGTGAGGCAGAAGAATCGCCATGAGTTCCAAGTCAACCAGTGCTGGAATGAGATCCTACCAAGGCAGGGTGGGGGAGTGGGAGGGTAGGGGTGGGGTGGGGTGGGAGGAAGGCAGGCAGGCAGGAAGGAAGGAAAAGGAAGGAAAAAGAAAAAAAGAAACATCAAAACATACCTGTTGCTTTTTTGCATATTTTTAACCATAATAGTTAAATACTTTATACCATATTTTAACCCCTTCGACAGCAGGGATGTGTTGTTTGAGGAAGTCATTACTGGCAAAAGCAGAGGGTGGAGCAAAGGTGAAAAAAAAAACCCCATAGTATTCGATGGCAGACTGCTTCAGTGATTAACAGGGGTGTCCAAGACCAATATAACGCCCACAGACACAGAGAAAAAGGTATGGTGGTCTGTGGGAGTCCAGCTCTGACCTGCTCCCACCTATTGAAAGGTTCTTGGGTGGAGGAGAGAGGAATGAGGAAATACTAGATAGAAAGATAGACCTAGACAATGAGGAGAAAGACAGAGACACAGGACAGCTTCGGGAGGACTCTAGGTCAATATCCAGTTGCCCAGAGGTTTATTCAAAAGGGCTTTTTATAATATGCCAAGGGACGAGGCAAAAGACTTCCTCCTTGCAAGATCAAAGCACACCTTACAGCCAAGTGTAGACCCTTCCAAACACCTGTTACCCATGCCTGTGGCCAAATCATCCTATTATGCAGCCCTGTTGGGTAAAGCAAGCTCAGATTCTCTGACCTTGAGGAAGGCCTCACTAGGAAGCCTCTTTGGACCACCACAAAAAGGACAGAAGGGAAAGGTATTGTTTTACAGCCCAAATGACCTAATTCAAGATTATGTATTGAATTTTGTTTAAAAAATTTTATTGCATACTTATTTATTGTGTGTGTATGTCTGACTGTATGTGTGTATACCTGTGCATGTACATGTGGCCCAGCACACTTGTGGAGATCAGAGGACAACTTTGTGGGAGTTGATTTTCTCTACTTCTACCACATGGGTCCAGAGACTCAAACTCAGATCATCAGATTTGGCAACAGGTCTCTTGACTGGCTGAACCTTCTTGCCACTCTTGAATTTTCTATTAGCCACATGAAATAAATATAAAAAGGATAAAGAAACAAGTGAAGTTGAGTTTGGTTACCTATTTTATTTAAGTAAACAGAAAGGAAATAAAATTTATAATGCTAAGGAAAGGTTTCACTTTCTTCCTCGGTACAAAGTGACCTAGATCTAGTTTCATCCTTCCCACTCATAGCACATGACTGTTCAGCTACCCATATTAGTCAGAGGTCAGGGGTGGCTACCATCTTGGATAATGAACGTTTAGACTATTACAACTTTAGATATTTTTTTTTCAATTTCAGACCTACAGGCCTGATAAAATTGACTAATTTTAAAACCCAAATCTTTAACCTTCAAAAATAGATTGAATTTATGTATTAGTTCCATTTCCTAGTTGCTATGATAAAATACCTTGACAGAAGAAATTCAGGAAAGGAAGGGCTTCTTCGAGCTCACAATCCCAAGGTTATACTTTCTCATAGCAAAGGGAGTCACGGTGGCAAAAACTTGAAAGAACTGGCCACACTGCATCTGTAGTCAAGAGCAGAGATCATGCTGTTTGTGCTCAGCTCACTTTCTCCATTCCTGTATGGTTTCCTGCCTAGGGAATGGTGCTACCCACAGTGGGTGACTCTTCCTACACCAATTAATCAAGGTAATTCCTCTATAGATAAGCCAACAGACTAACCTGATCCAGATTATATTCACTGAGAACCTTTTTCCAGGTAATGCTAGACTGTGTAACAGGCAACAGCACATCACTTTAATCTATAACCTCCCATCCCTTGTCTCCAAAGTCTCATGTTTATCTCATGATATAAAACTCAGTCTTACTTTAAATGTCTCCATGGTCTTTAAATATTAAAAAAAAATTAGCCGTGAACTTCTATACAATCAAATCAAGTTAGGTATTTCCAACATGTAATGGTAAGAATATATATATATATTTACACTTATCCCCAAAGTAACAAGAATTAATCACAGAAAAAAAAATCCAGCTGGGATAATACTAAATCCTACAGCTACAAGTCTTTCATCTGGGGTTTGTGATGAAATTAGCTGAGCTTCAAAGGGCTTAGGCAGCTTTACTCCGCCCTTGCCACCTCGGCACACACAGATTCTCCATCAGTCTGCAACTTTCCTTGGGGGACATCTCAGAGTCTTGGCTCTGCAACTGAGTCATCACCTTCCTGGATTCATGTACTGCCCTCTCAAGGGCCTTCCCTTCTGTGACTCCAAGCTTGCCACACAGCACCAGACTTCAGCAGCTTTTCATGGCTACCTCCATTCTGCATCTCTTATGGCCTTCAAAACCAGCACCATGTATATAACACTCTCAACATTGTCAGATTCTGCTGCCAGCTTGAGGTGTACCCCAAGTCTTCTTGGACCACAGCTGTACCAGCTTCTGTGTACTGACTCTAGAGTAACTCTTTACAGGATGCTCCCCTGCTATGGTATTGATCTCTCTATCAATCACAGCTGCTTCTTCAGCACCAGCCTGAGTACCATCGTGCCTTGAAATTTCATCTGCCAAACAAATCAGTCCTTTGTCCTTAAATTTAACACCCAAGTTCTGAGGATACTGGCAGAATGAAACCAGATTCTTTGCCAAACTGTCACATGAATAGCCCCTATTCTGGCTCCTGATAGAGTCTTTGTTCCTGTCTGAAACCTCATAAGCTGAGCCTGGACTGTCCATATTTCTCTTAGCATTCAGCTTGCAAGCTTCTACTAGAATGGCCTATTAACCTCTGCTTCCAACATCCATTAGCTTTTCAGCCCAAAGTTCCAATCTCTTCCACATTCCTCCCACAAAACAGTTCAAAGGGCATAAAAGCCATAGAGTCAGGTTTATTACAACAATGGCCTCACTTCTCAGTACCAATTCCTGTCTTAAGTTTGTTCCTTGTTACTGTGATAAAAATCACCTCAATAAAATACCAAACTGTTGTGGAATATTTCTTTACACTGTGAGAAGATGTGTCATTGTGATTGCTTTAATAAAGAGCTGAATGGGCAATACCTAGACAGGAAGAAGTTAGGTGGGACTTCCAAGGACAGCTCCTCCATGGCCTCTGCATTAGCTCCTGCCTCTAGGATCCGGCCCTGTTTGAGTTCCTGTCCTGATTTCCTTCAGTGATGAACAGCAATGTTGGAGTGTAAGCCAAATAAACCCATTTCCTCCCCAACTTGCTTTTGGGTCATGGTGTTTTGTTGCAGCAATAGAAACCCTAACTAAAGTAACATATCAGCACCAGATCCTCTTTGGATATATTATGGCTTCCATTTTAGTGTTTTTATGGGATTCCTTAGTGTGTAAACTAGTGGGTCTCTGATTCTTGTACCTTCTCTTGGGCTCTTTTCCTTCTGTTAGTTTGTCTTGTCCAACTTTGATGAGATCATTTTTATTTTATCTTATGGTATTTTATTTTGTGATTTTTAAAAAAAAATCAATTAATGAATGAAAACCTAGCCACTAAGGTAAATATTAACAACCGAACTGTCATTTATACCTGCTGGAAGAGAGAAAATCAGATCAGTTTTCTTTAATGGAGTGACACTGGTTATATCAATCATCTCAGGGCAGGCCTCATATTCAGAAGTAGTTGACCAACATATAATGGAATCCACAGTTTTTTGTGTGTGCTTTTATTTGATTATAGCTTAATGGGTTTTTTTTTTCCTTTTGGGGTGTTGTTTTGTTTTGTTTTCTTGGTTTTGTTGTTCTGTTGAGTTTTGTGGGGTTTTTTTGCAAAAAGAACTTAAAGTTGGGTGAGTAGGGAGGGGGAGAAGTACCTGGAAAGACTTGGGGGAGGGGAAGCATAAGATCAAAATATATTTAAATTTAAAAATTGTTTTAAATAATGAAAAATTTAAAAAGCCAAGATAAAAGGAAAAATTAATTGATGAATATGTAAACCAAAGGGAAAGGGGGGGAATTACCTCAATAAAAGCAACTTAACAAGAAAAGGTTTATTTAAGCTCACTATTCCAGGACATGTCCATCACACCAGGGAGGTCACAACAGCAGGAACTAGAGAGAACTAGCCATATTGTATCCCAGTCAGGAGCAGAGAGCAATGGATTAATGAACACACTCACTCAGTTCATTTCCTTCATTCTTATACAGTTCAGGAACATCCACATAGAGTGTATTTTCCCATACCAATTAATGTAATCAGTGTAATCCCCAATAAACTGTTGTGATGCAATATTACAAAAATATTTCTTACATTCTAAGAGACTGTATTGCTGGGCCTCACACTAGCGTTAATAATACACCTTGAGGTCACTTAAGATCTAAGACTATATTCTACTGTGCACTCAGCCTATTTATTTAACCTTCTTTTAAGATAGTGGTTCTCAACATGTGGGTCACAACCCTTTTACAAGGGTCGAATATCAGATATTTACAATTCATATCAGTAGCAAAATTACAGTTATAAAGTAACGATGAAAATAATTTGGGGGTGGGGGTGGGCATCATCACAACATGAGGAACTATATTAAAGGTTTGAAGTGTTAGGAAGGCTGAGAAACACTGTTTTAAGAGAACAATGAGCTGGGCAGTGGTGGCACACGCCTTTAATCCTAGCACTCGGGAGGCAGAGGCAGGTGGATCTCTGTGAGTTCGAGGCCAGCCTGGGCTACAGAGTGAATTCCAGGATAGGCTCCAAAGCTACCCAGAGAAACCCTGTCTCAGAAAAAAAAAAAAAAAAAGAGAGAACAATGAAATCATCAACCTTACTGGCTTTGGATTTCCTGTTTAATCAACTTTTACAACATAAACTAATGCACAGCTGCACTGTTACATACTCAGAGCTGGTCACTAACTCATTTAACCCTTGCATTTATATGCATTCATTAATTCATAAAACCCTTGTGTTTATAAACACATCCACAGGCAAACTTAACCTAGACAATCATTCTGAGACTCTTCCCAAGTAATTTTAGTTGTGTCAGGCTGACAACTAAAACCAACAATCGCAATGTCCAATCTACTTTTTGTTCTAAAATCTTCCACTTAGAGAGGAGTCTATTCCTGTAAACTTGGTCTAAAGCCATATTTACAGTGAGTGTCTGTGCCAAGAAAACCACAGGCATAGCTCACCAACCCTCTACCGTCAAACTGACGCACACATTTCAAACCACAGAGACAAAAAAACCCAAATCTTTTTAAGTAATTAAGCAATGATTAAAACTTAACACCTTCTAGAAAGGAAGCTCTTTGATGTTGGTATTTAAACTTCTAGACTCAAGCTCAAACTCCCCACAAGGTTTAACCGAAGGAAAACAACCAATTCTACCATCCAAAATATTATTATTTCCATAATTCTACTTATTTTTTTCCTGGAAGAAATATAATTTCAATACAATATAATCATCACCATCACAACCATTTTCCACAAAACTGTTAACAGGTCATTTTTAAGGCAATGAGAAGACACAGAACACGGACAGCGTGGTCTGCAGAGCTGGGACTCATGTTTGTCCTCACACAGTCAGACCTGGTGCCCATGTCCTGCAAAGCAAGATCGGGACAGAATCTCCCCACTTTTCTCAACTTCAATAATTCACTGCTTGTCTCTCAGACTTCCAATCTTTATAAGGCAACATGCCTGGAATATAAGTCAAAACCACACGCTGCACGCAGATTTCCTGCTAGTTTACTCTTTTCTTTTCGGGACATTTTACCTCCCCAAGCCCATCAATATGTTCAGCTATGTAGCTGGGTAGCCTGGTGTGTGCCACCACGCCTGCTTCTGGGAACCTGGCTGTGGGCCAGCAACTTCCTGGGCTGTCTCTGTGGTGAGTCCTCCAAAATGGCAACACAAAGACGCAGCAGGAGGAGTCTGGAGCAGGAAGCTTCCGGGCTGGAGTTGGGACCTCAGCTCACCCCTGTCTCCAGCCTCCATCCTTGAACTGAATCACCCATTCTTCTGCAGGCTCTTCAGGCTGCTGTTAATTCCTGCAGATTTGGCCTCACCAAAGACTACAATCATGTCAGGCAGTTCCTTAAAATCTGCTCCCCTTTCCCATCCCCTCCTCTCCTATCCTGTCCCCTCTCCTCCCCTCCCCTCCTCTCCTCACCCATTCCCTTCTCTTCCCTTCCCCTCTCATCCCTTCCCCACTCGCTACACATGAAGCAAGTGTTATAACATTGAACTATACCCCTCCACACACACACTCCTCTCTCCACGCATATCCATACCCACACATACATCCCATTAGTTCTGTTTCCCTGAAGATTCCTGACTTATACAATCGTGCTTAATATATCACAAGTTTAGTTGGCAATGCAATGGAGTTAGCTACTATTTATATTTCACTAACCCTCAAAAATCCCTTCTGAACAGGTTGGTTGGCCTCCCTTGCTGCGTGATCCTCATGGGGTTACAACCTTCATACCGAGTGGAACCATGATGACAATTCACTTTAAAGCTGCTTCTTTCCCTCAGTTTCTATCTCCAGAAGAAGTGTTTGGAATCTGTGGGTATTACCCATCTTTTGAAGTCACCAGGAAGGAG